TGATTTTACAGTGAAATGTGTCATTTTTCATGTTAATCAGGTACATTTTGATCAGGAAAAATGCACTGTGGCTTTAATTCAACGTAAGCGGTGCAGTAAAAATAGACTCGGTGCCGAAACTATTGCGGTGCGGCAGCGCGTAGCAGGAGCAGAGCAGAAGCTTCAGTGCCGCGATAGTTTCAGCACGAGTCTATTTTTACTGCACCGCTTACGTTGAATTAAAGCCACAGTGCATTTTTCCTGATCAAAATGTACCTGATTAACATGAAAAATGACACATTTCACTGTAAAATCAAGCGAGGTGTTTCGTGTTTCACAATCACGGGGTAAAAAGGCACACAGTATTGATAAATACCTCTGCATGCGGTGTGAATGCTCTAATCTGTTAACATGAGCGGCGAAAAAAATACGCTCTGCTTACGCGTGCGGTGTGAAACGGGCGTTACATGGAAACACAGGGCATCGGGATTGCTTGCGAGACATTGTTGACGTTACAGCTGCTCGAGCGCGGAGAAAAAGGAGGACAGCGTACAACCGCTGAGGGAGGAAACTATAGCAATGCAGAGCTGTCAATCAACCCCTGTGGCCCCGCCCTATAGAATGTGACATCACACTGCATGAGAATCAAAACGAGTGAGACTGACTTGGTTTACACGGGATTAAAAAATAAGGAGTGGGTGGATTTTTATCATTGAAGGGTGGTTGTGTTCACACACTGCCAACACACATTTATGTCCAAACATCATGTAAAAGTGGATTTTGCATAATAGGTGCCCTTTAAATAACTATACAAATACGAATTAATTTACATATTAAGCCAATTTATCTATTTATATAAATATACTTTATTCAAAATACAGTAATTTGTTATTTTATATTATATATATATATACACTGTTCAGTGTATAAAATCAGTCATTTATGAGGTTAATTTTAGTTCGTACTTGGTCTTAAAAACTGGCAGCTTCTGAAAGGTTTTGAAACAGATTTTATATTAATACTGTACTGAAAAATCTATCAGTTTTTCATCTTTGGCTTTTCTTCCACAGGAATTATCTCAACGTTTCTTCACGTCCATCCTTTTGGGGCCAGCATCGAATATATCTGCTCCTATTTACAACGGCTGGACACCAAGGTATGACACACACACACATTTCACTCCTTTTATTTTTACTTCTCATTTTCAGTTAGTTATAATGATGCAATTTTATTTTTTATTTAGCTTCAGTAGTTTTATGGTTTATTGCAGCCGTTCCGTCAAACAAACTGCACCCTGAAACAGTCACGTCTTTGAAGTTTATGCGCAAAGTTTTATTTGTCACAATTATAAGAATGCAGCTGCAGTACTTACTGAAAATTAAACGTGCTATAAAAGTGTCAGATTTGGCAGTAAATTGTGGCTATCATCACTCTGGCGTCTCCGGAGTCGTTCTGATTCAGCGTCTTGAGTCATAAGGCCCACACAGGAGAACAACTAATCGCTGGATTCACCAAAGTTTGTGCTGCTCATGACAAAACCTTTGAATTATATTCAAGTGTTTCTTTTGAGACTAAAGTAGCGAGCCTTTTTTGGGCCTTTGATCAGTGGTGGATGAAGAACACAAATCAAGTACTCGGGTAAAAGTACAGATGCCCTAATGAAATATGACTCTAGTAGAAGTATTTGATTTCAATTTTATGAGTAAAAGTGCAAAAAACACGTTATTTAATGTACTTAAGTATCAAAAGTAATTAGTACTGATCAATGAACCCTCTGATATTTTTGCAGCCAGCTGTTGTCAGACTAGTCATTACTAAACACTAATAAAAAAGATTAGTGCATTCATGTAATATGTATTGTAAGTTTTACTAACTTTTATTATCAAAACTTTTTATACTGTACTAAAACACCAAACTTTAATGTACTAAAATATCCAATTAAGCTACTAATATTTCAAGCTGGCAAACATGTATGTCATATAGTATTATGCCATATAGTTTTTCAAAAATTAAGAAAAACAACGTTTGTGTAAATATGTGGTTTTGTATCATTTGAAACGGCTACAGCGGTGGGTAAGATGCATGGGCATTAATTTGTATTATTTTACCAAAAATAACCAACCTCTTACAGAGTGTGACACACAAATGCAGATTTAGTTCACAAATAACTGAATCATGACATAAATATGATTTTCATTTACTGTACACTAATCAATACTAAAATTCAACATTATTAACTTACTTTTTGTACCATCAGTAACATGTACATTCAAGCTCAGACTATGTCGCTGTTCTTGGCTCATTTTGACAAGATCATTAAATCATTGAGCTGTTTATTTATGAACAGCTGCAAATGGTCCAACTCGTGAATGAATCGTTTAGAGTGATTCGTGAATCAATTCAGCTGGTTCATTGAAAAGAATCTGCACTTTCAATAATCAGACATCGCTCTCATGGTAAGCCCGATTCGGACGGTAATTGTTTCTTGTGGGGATGTAAGCCATTTTCTACACTTGCAGGGGTTAGTCTGGGATTTTACTGCCGTCCGAATCCAGAATGTCTGTGTTTTTCTCCCACCACCCGTGTAAAAGTCCCCAGTTTTTTGACAGACACCAAGGTTGTGTGGTAATTTAATTGGAATCCACATCTCTGAGTTTACAAGAAGAAATCGATCCAAAATTCACTGTTTAACCCTCTAAGCACCAAAGTCGCAAAATTGCGACAAGAATAAAAAAAAAAATTAAAAAAACATGCAAATAAGTTCAAACATCTATTCAATATCTACTATTTCCTGAATATTATAAAAATTCAAGATGGCCACCCCTGATTACGTCACAATATGCAAATTAGATGAGTATATTTACACCCCACATAAACTTTCGGTCATGCCCAACATTTTTCTAATTTACATTAGATCTCTATCTTTAAGCCCTTTCAAGCCACAAGCTTTTGAAATCTTGATGCTTTTGAAAACCCTGGCGCCTAAAGGGTTAAGTCCTTTTTGACCACTGCTGAACACTGTACGGTAACTGTTGCACTTCACTGTAATTTGCATGCATTTATACTGGATGGATGGATGGATGGATGGATGGATAGATAGAGTGCAAAAAATATTTATTTTACCAGTTTCCATCTTCATAAAACTTTTCATTAGTGATTATAACCTTGACACATGCACACAGGCTACTCACTCAGACTGAATGTATTTACTGCTTTTTACAGCACCTGCACACACACACACACACACACTGAAAGTATGGCGGTCTGCTTGCCATTCTAATGTTCTGCTGAGTAAACAGCCCTTGAGCAGACAGAAAGAGCTTGCGGTGTAAAGCTCAGCTCTCACGCTCACAGCAGGACCACACACACATTTCCCACGTGTGTGTGTGTGAGAGAGAGAGAGAGAGAGAGAGAGAAAGAGAGAGTGTGTGTGTGTGTGTGTGTGTGTGTCTGTGTTTTCATCTTCCTGTTCTCAAATAAAATCCTCAAGCTTTTCCTGCCAAAATGTTTAATGCTGAAATAAAGCGCTCATCTTACTATAGCGCAGTGTTGATTACTCTTTATTTTCCTTCATCTCTCAGGCTTTATCTCGCTCTCTCGCTCTGCTTTCGTGTCACACAGTGACTAATTTACACTTACAGATGGAGGGTGAAAATGAGCCTCTATATCTTTTCAGTTTTGAGTTGAAGCCCTCCGGCTGTGGATGCCCACGCTCTCGCTCTCCGCGGCGCACACATGCCTTCATATCTTCATCAACACTCCGCTCGTTTGCACTAAAAACAATGCACCCCGGTGGGAGGGTTTAATTGATAAACCGCCGTTCACGTCGCTCTGCCTGCCACTCGATAAGCTGCTGCAAGTGGGTTTCACGATCCTGTGAAGAACACAATTCACATCATGCTGCGCTTATATATAGTGGGATCCAAAAAATCTGAACGCACATCAAAAATTCTAAATCAGAGTTAAACCTGGGAAGTTTTAGTAAAATGCAGGGCAAATGTAAAATGAAAATGGAATGCATTCTGCAATATTTAAGTAATCAAGTATATTTGTGACATTGATCTGGCTTGATTATGAGTATCAAAGGAATAATTCAGGTTGCATATAAATTAAGCACAATCAGCAGCATTTGTGGCATAATGCTGGGTAATAATGGCACACATAATACAAACATAATTTCTATTTATGCCTAATTTCCTTTAACGCAAACAAACAAATAGAATGGAGGAAATGGGTCCAATTTTAAAAGCAGAAATGTGAAGCATATATTTTTAATTTAAAATTGTGTATTATTTGAGCTGTGAATTTGCAGTCACTTTGGGGTTTTGAGCATTATGTTGGCAATGTAAAAAAGTAAAACCTTTTTTTTTTTATGCTAAATTCATGTTAACATGCACATTGTTTATATCTTGTGGCTGTACTATTGAAACAGTGAGATTTTACAGGATTTTTACTGGTTTTATGAAGGTAAATTTAAGACATTTAAAGACATTTTTAAGACCCATTTACAGATTTAAAGAAACTAAATAAATATAATTAAACTTTTACAAATTAGCCCCATTCACTTTAATTGTAAGTGCCTTACTCTAACCCAGATTTTGGCTTTAAAAAACTGACAAGTCTAAATTAATCTTTGTTGTAATCAACATTATTCCATAAAAACTGTCAAATGAACTTAACTTGTATTTGACCCTGAATATGCCAACAATGCAGGACTGCCATTGTATTATCTTCAAATTGCAATCATTACAATCACAAGCTATATTAACTGCCTTAGTAATGCTTTGAAAGATCGCATCATATTGTCTTTTTAGGAGAATGTGTCACTGGTAGTATCTTGGAGCTGTGTTTTACTGTCATATGACATTATTTCGTTGCTAGAGGAGAATTGGCCCCAGATGAGTATGTTTCCTTCAAGGTTTTTCTCCAACACCTCACCACTGATGGAGTTTTTCCTTGAGACAGACACCTGTGGCTGCTCGCTGGGGCTCAAAGCGATTCAGTGGAAGCTCTTGATTTAATGCAATATGTATCATTGAAACGTGCATTTTAAGCTGCTTTGAAATGATCTGTATTGTGAAAAGTGCTATACAAATGAGTATGAATCAAATATTCCTTTAAAGGGGTCATGAACTGCCTTTGTTTTTTATTTTGTACTGTTCTCTGAGGTCCACTGTTATCAAGATTTTTACATCAAAAAAACTCATAATTTTAAAATAATACGCTATTTTCTGTCCTGTTTTTAGCCCCCCTCATCAGAATGCTCTGTTTGAATAGGCAAAGTAAACGGAAGTAAACGCCCACTGCTGTGATTGGCTAACAGTTGTGTATGTTTGACAGCATACATTCATTGCTCATAGACTAACGCTGCTGTGATTTGGGTTAAAAACGCATAAATACTCATTTCAGACGATTGGCCCCAGATGAGTATGTTTCCTTCAAGGTTTTTCTCCAACACCTCACCACTGATGGAGTTTTTCCTTGAGACAGACACCTGTGGCTGCTCGCTGGGGCTCAAAGCGATTCAGTGGAAGCTCTTGATTTAATGCAATATGTATCATTGAAACGTGCATTTTAAGCTGCTTTGAAATGATCTGTATTGTGAAAAGTGCTATACAAATGAGTATGAATCAAATATTCCTTTAAAGGGGTCATGAACTGCCTTTGTTTTTTATTTTGTACTGTTCTCTGAGGTCCACTGTTATCAAGATTTTTACATCAAAAAAACTCATAATTTTAAAATAATACGCTATTTTCTGTCCTGTTTTTAGCCCCCCTCATCAGAACGCTCTGTTTGAATAGGCAAAGTAAACGGAAGTAAACGCCCACTGCTATGATTGGCTAACAGTTGTGTATGTTTGACAGCATACATTCATTGCTCATAGACTAACGCTGCTGTGATTTGGGTTAAAAACGCATAAATACTCATTTCAGACGATCTGTTTTACAGACAAAGCAATAGTGATCACGTAATAAAAACAGTTATTCACACTTGTGTGTTTTGCGACATTACTGTCGGATCCAATATAGTCGCACAGCATCGTCTTTTAGTTTCAATCTTTCTGAAAATCCTGCGTCGAAGAGTGCCTTGTTTGTAAACGAATCCGCGGTAAAATGAAGTGAACAAAGGACCAATTTCATACTGATGCGGTCTGGATCTTCATTACAAATAAAGTTCATTCAGTCTTTCCTAACGTTGGGATCAGAAGGAAGGCAATGCAAAGACTGTTTTTCCTCAACTTGGCACTGCACAGCGGCTTGTTGTCTTCAGAGCATCTTTATCATTTGGTTTCTGCATAGACCTGCACGTTCGTCTCTCATTATTTACATAATAAGCTGTTTTTAGACTAACGAGAAAGTTTGAAACCTACTAGGGATGGGTCACGATTTTCGAATATTCGATTAGTTGATTTAATTAGAGAATATCGAATAGGTTGTGCGATTGTCTTAAAAAATTTCCCTATGTTTTCCTAACACATTGTCTCGCGCGCACACTGTAGACTTGCGTGGCATTAAAAAAAGACTTGCGTAGGATATAACGGTTACAGTAACTTGGGACGATGTCAAATAAGAGTGCTGTGCGGACCACAAACACCCCCGACTAGGTTAGAGGTGTGGCCGAATCCGTGTTCAGAAAGGCGCGGAAAACAAATAACGCGCTCTATGGAGCCACTAAAGGGACATGGTTAGCCGCTTGCTAGCGGTAGCCTGTTACATTACAGTACATAACATTTCACTTACCACATAAACAGAGTAAGGATAGATGACTGATAGGATGATGGCGGATGATTTGCAGATCCTGAGCACCACTGAGAAACATCTAATCTTGTAAAATGTGTGGTAAGTACTGCAGAGTGCTGCTCCGTAGTGTGATCGCGAATCTCGAAAGTGAAAGTAAAAAACAAGCACGCGTTCAAAAGTGATTTCAATGCCCCGCTTATTAATAACGGCTCCCTGATGCAGTATTAATTACCCAACGATATATTTGCGACAGAAGATATTGAAGAATTTTTTCCTCCCATCTCGTATTTATTCCCTTTAGGGATTACATTTTTTTAAATGGAAATGTCCTAGCCTTATGAGCAGTTCATTTATGCTAATCGACGGACTGTTATGTTAATAAGTGCTATCATTCGGTTATGTTTATTATAGTAATTTGTTTCAGCACTTTACAATCATTATATGGCTTGAGTTAAGGTAGCCTATCTTCTGAATTAAACCGTTTATCATACAGATTGAAAGCGTGAATCCCGTCTCTCTCCCGCTCTCTCTGTTTATGGGTGTTTGTGCGTGCATGCGGGGGAGGGGTGCGATTTTTCGAGTAATAATCGAATAATACCCAGCGATTTTCGAATATTATTTTTGCTTGGAATGCCCATCCCTAAAACTTACAGGATGTTTTTATAGCACAATAACCTCATATATGTCAAAAAATAATCAAGGGAATTTGGTTTCTCAGTTCATGACCCCCTTTAAATTGGAAAAACAGAAGCATTTTCACTAGTAGTCTCAGAGCCGTGATTGGTTTGGATGGGTCTAACGGTCGATGTTCTTGTCGTTTCAGATCAGCACCACAGAGGTGGAGACTCTTCTGGGTCGGCTGCCCTGCACGTTTAAGCAGGAGTTGACGGGCGTCGGGGCGAGTCTGGAGAAACGCTGGAAGTTCTGTGGGTTTGAGGGCATTAAGATGGCGTAGAGACACGGGTCGGGGTTCCCGCTAGAAAAACAAAAACGGCTGATGGACCGGAGGGGTCACAACCAATCACCTGCCAGCTCTCCGCGTCCATCCGCCGCCCCTCTAGACACTCTAGACCTGGAGATCCTCAAGACTATGGTGTGTGTGTGTAGTATGATTTAGTATGTGTACACACGAGCACACTTCGGCGTGTGTGTTTATGTGCAGCACGTGAACGGACCGTACGCTTGTACAACACAACGGAAAACTCATCGGGTAAAAATCAGGGTTTGCTGAACCGAGGACTTGAACTGTCAACATACATGTTCTTGTTTCACCTCTGATTTGTAAAAAAAGAAAAAAATATATAAATAACAGGAATATATTTCTTTTCTCTTCTGTATAGGCTGCAGAAAACAGTTGCATAGAATCTTTTGTTCACATATCCTGTAAATGTTTAAATAACTTGCTATTTTTAAATAAAAAAAGAACAACAAAATCTGCAGCCAGACCACTTTATTAGTTTAACAATCTAGGCCAGCGCTTCTAAAATCTTCAAAAGTTCCACTCTCAGCACCGCTGCTAATTAAAAGAGGAATCGTGGGATAAAGATCAGATTTATGCCACACACGTCCGTTCAAACCTTCAGGCTTTTCCTGCTTAAGCTGCTGACCAAAGGAACGCTCCTCCGCTCTTCCCCAAGTGATCTGAGCCGGTCTGCTGTGTTTTCCCATCTCATATCTTTTTTTATATGTGGGGTTTTTCATGCAGTGGACTGGTAAGCAGCGCTGCTGTTTTTGCGCAGAGCTTGTGAAGTCTAATTAACAATCAGAGCGGTGTATGTGTGGGTGTTTGTCTGTTAGTCAGCAGTAAACGTCTCGTTCAGAGAGGAGAGAAGACTCTTCCGGCGGCACATTCAAGCGTCACTAATGCTCTTGTGTTGTGCAATTTGTAAGGTTATTTTTTCACTTATTGCTGAGGGAAACTAAGGCTTCACATGATTGGTTCCCACTGCCCCTTTTCCATTTCCTTGGGCCATATGTATGAAAAATTAGTTTCAAATGCTTGTCAGACATTTGGCCTCTCAAACATGAATTAATAATGGCTAATGATTGTTTCTTCCGTCGTCGAACAATCCTTAATTCATTATTATTTCTTTTTGCCATGCATTTTTAATATATACACTCCAGATGGACTGAAATATAAGTGGATAGAACATGAACAAGTTAGAGGATTCTGTCTCTTAAATATGAATATTTCAATGCTCAGTTTTTTGTCCCATGGCACACCGTGTTGTTTAAATGTCTCATCATTCCAGCTTAATGCAAGTGTAATCATCAGCATTTGTGGCATACCACTAAAATGTGTTTTAACTCATACCATTTTCTTAAATTAATTAAGAAATACAAATCTAGATTATGGTGAGGCACTTACAATTGAATTGAATGGGGCCCATTTTTGAAGGATTTAAACGCAAAAATGTGAGGCTGATGCTTTTATAAAATCACCTATATTCATTATTTTATTGACAAATGCATTATGTGAGCTTTAAAGTTGTTCTCTTATGAATATGCAGTATTTTCATGGCAACATAGTTGTAAATTTAAATATTTTGCTTAAAAAAAGACATTCTGCAATTTAATTAAAAACAATAACATTAAGTTCTAACAATTCTAGCAAGTCACAGATTTAACACATCCTTGCTGAATAAAAGTACCATTTTCTTCCCAAAAAAAAGAGAGAGAGAGAGAGAAAGGAAGAAAGAAAGAAAAGAAAAAATTGCTGATCCCAAACTATTGAACAGAAGTGTATATGGTTTCAAAATATTTCTATTTTAAATAAATTATGTTCTTTTCAACTTTTTATTTCTAAAAAAGTATCACAGGTTCCCATAATTAAATAAATAAGCAGCACAACGGTTTCCAACACTGATAATAAATCAGCATATTAGAATGATTTCTGAAGGATCATGTGACACTGAAGACTGGAGTAATGATGCTGAAAATTCAGCTTTGATCACAGAAATAAATTACATTTTAAAATATATTCACATAAAAAAACTTTTTTTCAAATTACAATAATATTTCACAATTTTACAGTTTTTTTCTGTATTTTTGAACAATAAATGCAGTGTTGATGAGCAGAACAGACTTTTTTTTAAAATCTTAATAAAAAAATCTTACTATAATTTAGGATAAGTTATCCTAAATTTATTTATATATATATATATATGTGTGTGTGTGTGTGTGTGTGTATAAAAATTACATATATTTTAAGTTAATAAATCATTGTATTTTATTTAAATCTGCATTAATTACAGCGTGTTTTTTTTATTTTTATATATATATAGTAATCAGCATTTCGCCACAAATGCTGACTGAGCTTAACTTGTACTGAACCCAGAATATTCCTTTAAATGCATCAGTTCCATTAAATGTGAACCTCGAGTTCCTCTTCAGATGCTGTTCGTCAGCTCACTCTCCAGCTTTTACCGGTTTAGAGGTTTTTGAACTCGGACGAGGAAAACAACACGTGCACAGATGCAGGAGCAGCGGAAGGTCGCGTGGCGAGCGTACAGTACGTGTCCTGTTTTCCTCTCCTCGTTCCTCTATTTTTGGGAAGCTCCAGCCGCTCCATCAGAGCACTTAGCCGGAGAGCCGTGTGCATCAATTCACCAGCCTTTATGTGGACTCCATCACTGTCATTCAGCCTGCTTTTGACAAATGGCTGTGGTTTTCACATCGACAAGCACAGATATTCTCTGGAATACCATTATTTTGTGTTGTTGTGCTATTTATGTACTTTATTTAGTCCTGACAGGAATCCTCCACTTTTCAAATGATCACATAAACAGACTAATTAGATCTCTCTGTGGAGCCCTGGAGATGTTTCTCATTTCTTCTTTACGCAACACCACCGAGAGTCGCTTCACCTCTCCATTACCTTCTTCCTCCGGAAGCTGGAGTGTCCTTCAGCACCTGGCCTTGTTTTTGAGCTCTCCTAAAGAGCAGAGCGGCTCTGAATCCAAAGGGCAGCGATGTCAAAGCGCAAACACCCGAGAGTCTGGCTCATAACCCGTAATCCCCCCAATGCCGTGCTCCTCACATCCTTGGAAGTAATTGGATATGGAGTGATCCAGCTTCCGTGGATCTCTTTTTGGGGGGCCCGTATCTTGATGCTTCGGCTAATTAGTTCACTCTTACCTGACTTCCTCCAGTCAAAGTGAATCCAGGCAATTACAAAGAGCGTTTCCCTTGAGTGATGGGATGAGAGGGAGGTGATTGGCTCGTAAGGAGAGCGAATGTTCCCGTCGTCCCGCGCAAGTGAAAGCTCCTCATTACGGCGCAGCAGTCAGAGCGCATGACTGAACGTGTCCATCTGTTTAAGGAGGAACCCGTGGAGGTTACAGAGGGTCACCATTTCCATAATAATGCTTATGGATAATAGATCAGAGCCAATACATGGAGTACAGAGGACCATGAGCTCCCCCTTCTGGACAGAGAGAGAGAAATGCCTTTCTGGGAGCAGATTTGTGTGTGTGTGTGTGTGTGTGTGTGTGTGTGTGTGTATGTGTGTGAACAGCTATATAACTGTCCAAATAAAAAGTGGTGGTTATTTTAAATCTAATTTCCTTTCTTAATATACATATATAATAATATGTATACAATACTCATTGAGGTCAGTAAGGTATTTATTTATTTATTTGTTTGTTTATTTTTAAATAAGTCTCTTTTGCTGACCAAGGCTGCATTAATTTGTTCAAAAAACAGTAAAATATTATTACAATTTAAAAGAACTGTTCTTTATGTGTATACATGTTAAAATGTAATTTATTTCTGCGATGCAAATCTGAATTTTCAGCATCATTTCTCCAGTTTTCAGTGTCACGTGATCCTTCAGAAATCATTCTAATGTATGCTAATTTCAAGATTCTTTGATGAACAGAAAAATCAAAAGAACAGTTTATTTGACATAGTAATCTTTGTAACATTATAAATAAATTATCAAATCAAAAAGACAAAAAATAACAATATAATCATCTTTTTTCCTCAAAACAATTTTCTTGAAAGCGTTACGTCTCTGTCTGCTGCCAACAGAATGTAAGTAAATATTTCATAGGTACTTACTTTGCCACTTTCATCGGTCATGTTGACTTTACCTTGTCATAAATTATAAACACTATGACATATAAAGTGGACTATCATAGAATTATAGGAAAGGGTCAAAGGTCACCACTTACAGTTAAAAGTTAAGGTGATATTGGAGCTCAAGGTAATAACTGCACTTCACAGTGTGTTTGTTTTTTGCCATAAAATTAAAAAGCAAGTGTTTGCAGTGATGTCGTTTGCTCCTGGCCTTTTACATGAATTAATTTGAGGTCCTGTTGTGTTTGATTTGAAATGCCAGCGGTCGTGATACCTTTGAGACGACACGCTGCCTGACTAATGAACTACAGACACACTCATCTTCATTACGCCGCTGACCTTTCCAAACAAATGGAGAAATCAAATCCAAGTGATTGAGTGAGTTCACAACTATTTTTAAACGTGAAAATAACTTTGTTTTCATGTTCAGACCGACGCTCCCAAAAGCGACTCTTGTTTTTCCTCTGACTTAACATGCGTTTTGTCTAAATGTCATGTTCTAAAGATGTATTTCCTCGTGTTTACTGGGAAAAGCGAGCTGCGTGCCTCTAAATAGATCTTATTTGTCATCAGCTGTTTCATGAAGTCTTTGAACAAAGCAGAACGTCAGAACTCTGTCCTCAAAATAATGAACTGAAGTGGCTTGTTTTCTACCAGTGTTTTACTGAAAGCCTGTCATCTCATGCTAACCGCGTGTAAAAAAACAAAAAACAAACAAAAGTAAAACTGACTATATTCCAATCCAGTAGCAACATTATTAAAGCCGCACTATGTAACTTTTTCTGTGTTAAAAATGGTGATTTCAAATATCAACATTGGCTACCAGAAATCACTTACTCTGCCTTTAAGTAGTTAGCGTCGCACTTTTACTCGTGTTACCTCACTCGAACACTAGGCTTGCTGTAGAGGTGATGCACAAATAATATCATAAAGAGTGCAACAGCAGGTCTAAAGCTGTAGCGCTGCATATTTATGAGCGAACAAAAGTTCAGTCTTGTTTGTTCTGCCACCCATGAAACCTGCGGCATGTCACTTTTTTGACAAAAACTTCGAAACCTTTCAAATCTAGTCGTGTTTTAGCGTGCATGTCATCGACTTCGCTTAATGATGGTGACTTAGTTAACTTTGTCTAACACTGTTGCCCTTAAGTCACATTTATTAAATCTAAATGAGTGAGGCCTTTGCTTAATGAG